ACAAGACAAACATATAGACATGCAGTGGCAAATAGCAGAATGTGTAAATAGTGTGTCACCTTGTTGACTTTAATGAAGTCAATTTAAGAAATTTGCTAAGAAAGCAATGGCTTCATTTTTTGCAGGACATGCTATAAATAAGCAAAAAATAAGTAAAATTATAATTATATACCTAGGGATACCCAAATAAAGTACACATTGTTTCAGCTTTCAGCAAGGATCATGATCTTGAAATGAGGAAAACGATCAATGAAAGTTAAGGTGTGGAAGAAGCATTATCACATCTGAAATTAAAGCAATTCAAAGGCTACAAAATACTCAAAGCAGGAAGTCTTGATAACTTTCACTGCAGAATCCTAAGGAACTAATCTGAAAGGTCTTTAACAAGGAGTTTTAGTAAGTATGGCAGGATGATCATTTATGAAAAATAGCAAATGGCTTGCCTACATTTGAGAAAGGAAGCTGAAAGGCAATAATAAATATCTACCTCAATATGATTTTAGTTGATTTTAAAATTTAAAGCTACAGAGTAACTTTTGAAGCAAAGAATGAACAATAACACAAAAGTGCAAAGCAAACTTACTGAAATCTATCTAAAGGTTTCAAAGAGTAGATTATACGATTTACAAGTTATCTTTCTTTAATTACTTATCTTCTAAGTAAGGCAAGTGGAGAATATATCATCTATCTGGATTTCAAAAGAGTTTTTGACACTATCTGATAGAAAAGGTATTAGTTAAGATTGAGAAGATAAAGAATTGACTGGTCAAGAGAAGACAACAGGTTGTGTTAGGCATCTGTATCCTTACATGGAAGCTGTTAAAGGGTTCTTCATGGGCTGTCTTGCAACAGGACTTTTTGACATTTAAATTAAAGATTAAGTCACAAAAAAATTGAAGCATGATGCTGAAATTTGCTGGTAAAACAAGTCTGAGAATTATCAAAATCATAAAAACATACAGGAAGAATCAACTTACCTTGATGACTTCTGTAATAGAAATGGGATTAAACTTAATAACACAAAAAGCAATATAATAAGATTTTCAGCTACAAAGTTCATCAGAAATTGCAGAGAAAAAGAAAGATAAAGACAATTTACTAGAGAAGGACTATCAGACAATACTATTACATCAGGTAGAATACATCTTCATGATGAAAATCATGAACAAACCCTGTTCTGCATATTAAAGAAAAGTTCACTGAAAACTTCACTAAAAATTGAGCAAAGATGAAGTCTGACAGCATGATCAGGAATGCAGAACTTAATTCATGTGAGGAAAATGAAAAACCTTGTATTATCTTGCAAACAGAACTAAGATGAGAGAAATGTTCTCCGTAAACATGAATGGGTAAAAAGACCCTGTAGATGTTCATACTAATGTATGGAACTCTGAGATCAATAGCAACGTAAGAATTTTCTATGTGCGTATATTTTAAAAGTATGGGGGGTTATGCCACATGAGTGCTTGCATTAGCAGAGTATAGGACTCAGCACCCAAAAGGATGTGCTGCCTGTTTATTCTGACTCATAAACATGATCTCTGTGGCCAGGCAAAATAACATTTCCACCACCAAGTGGTTTAATGCCATGCATTTTGATTAAAATGCACATCATTTTCTTCTTCGCTCATCTGCTTAAGATCTACATGAATGCTTTAAACATCATTCACTCACTAGGTGCCTAATGCAAAGCTTATTTAGTCAAAGTGCTTCAATTGACTTCTGTATCCTTACCAATCAACTAGCTGCTGCAGGCTTCCAGTTTTATCACAATATTAGACTGCTTTTCTCTTTTTCCCATGATCTTAAAAGGCAAAGAAAGAGGTATACTTTGGTTTGCCCTGTCTGTTCTTTAATGTGCTTAGATTGCAGTTATTTCCTGCTGAGCCCTGGATGAGGTTTAGTTTGTTGAAGAGCAACTTTTTAATCATCTCAGAGAGTGAATGAACTGGAAGATATGTCAGGCTTCTATCAGAAGATGAAAAATGTGGAAACTTATCAGTACCTCTTTTCCTCTAGATATATTGTAGGTCATAAAACCCCACTCTGTACAGTACTTATTACTCTTATAAAGGAAGCTAAAAGCATAATTACACAAAGGATGATCACCAAGAAACTTTGCAAAACAGTATAAAGCAGCTATAAAACAGGTATAAAGCAGGTATAAAAGTTTGACTGCCTGTGCATGGGAAAAAGTGCAAAAGAGGCAGCAGGAGAACAACTGATTTCAAACTCAAGCTCTGTCATCTTCCTCACAGGAAGGGCGGCTACAACCCCTTCACTCTTATTTTGAAGAATTAAGGTAACAGTGTAAAACATTTCAGAAGCAAAACTTACCAGAGTTTACCAGCATACACAGCAGTGCTTAACAGCCTAAAATATATCTGGCTACTGGATGAACCCGGCTTTATTTTTTTCCTATTGGTTCTTACAGGATCCTGTTTTAAGGTGATATAATCAGGCTCCTCCCCACCCTCTAATTCTCATCTTGGCTAAATGCTGAAGCTCTTCCCTAGACTTGTGCACTACAGGCATGGATCTATAAGTTTATGTTTTAATCAAGTTCAGAGAAAGGTATAAGGGACTCCACCTCTTCACACTTGCTTTGTTTTGCTCACTATTAACAGCAGATGGTGGCAGGTGAATAGCTCTTACTTTTTTTCAATGAATAGCCATGCCTCTGTTAGGGTCAAAAAAAGGATTAAGGAAATTGGTATGCTCCTGCACTGTACAGCTAACAACGTGACCTCTAAGGGTTGTAATATTGCATTTTTCATATGAAAAGAAATGGCAAGTCTAACATTATAAAACACCTAGCAAAGCAATCATTGCAGAACAAGGCCAAATAAGACTGTCTGATGAGCATTCAACATCTTGGTCCTAATCTAAATTACTTTCTTGCCAACGTATTTATTTTCCTAATTTATAATAATTATGGTTTTGTATGACACTTGTTTCAACTAGAGAGCAATGATTATTTTTGCTGAGGTTCGCAAGTAAGTGAGTATATGTGTAGACTTAAAAGGATTATTAAGTCTATTTGGATATTTTTAGGAGCACCACAGAATTCAATTATCCATAACAGCATTTCAATTTTAATACCAAAGGTTCCTCCTCTGAACTCAGCAGAGTTGCCATCTTGCTTGGATATTTTCTCTTCTAGTCAACAGGCAGCTGACACCATAGATTCACGAGGATATGCCAGATCTTTTATCCTATCCTGAATTATATTAATAATAAATTAAAGCTGCACAGGATGTTCTAGGAATGATCTGGTGATTCTCATTTAAAAAATAAAAGAAAGTCTTAACTCACAGCAAAGATGGAACTGAAATATATTAGGAGATTGAGAAGTCATCCAGAGTGTGTAGAGGCAAAATGGTTTTATAAGGTCTGTTTACTAAGTTCTGTATATAAAGGGTAACTGGCAGAAGTGGGAGCAGGAGCTTGAGAGGTATCTTGATATATCTGTAACAGCTTAGTATATTTTATACTGCTATACATCAAATTTCATGACTTCATTTGAAGACTTTCATTTGTATATGTGGTTGTCTGGAACACAGACTCCTTTTACACTGTCAAGAGAATGAGCTACTTTGACTTTCCAGCAGTCCACCACATGAAGCAGAAATGATTGCCTCTTATTCAAAGACAAATATTAAAGTGAATCTGGAATACATTAAAAAAACCTACAGAAGTGCAAAACTGTGGTCTGACTAACTTAATCTGGGAAAACTCATTTGTTAGCAGCTTGCTGTGTGACTGAGTAGGTCGTTGCACTTCCTTTTGTCTCATAGTGATAATTTACAAAGCACTTTGAGACCTTCAGTGTGTTCTTTAATGATACCAACCTTGGAACTGTTAGAACAAAAAAATCCTACATTAATTCCAAAAGTAACTGTGTAGTTCTCTGCTAGTGGATTCATACACACGTCAGCCGTGCCCACTTAATATTTTCAGCAACAATGAACACATTTTTTTCTTTGTCAGTGCTACCTGGTTCTCATACATTTCATTTAAATTAAATTCAGTTTTAATTATCTCCCCTGAATGTCTCACTGTATTTCTTCACGTAGAAGATACACTAATGATTCATAATTTCCCTTGATTTTTGATGAAAATTCATCCAAACACACCTTAAATGCTTTTTATCTCCCCTATATTTTGCATTCAGAACAATTGAACAATACCTCAATTAAAAAAAACACCAAACAACAAACCAACCTATAAAATAATCGGGCTGGATGCAGCACTCATTTATATCCCTGCAAATCCAGGAAATCCAGTAGTTGCGTATGAAGCATAAATCTAACCAAAATCTCCCTTCCTCGTGAAAATTCATATGCTTTATGAAGACCTTTCATTACTTTTTCTTTCTGATTTTAAAAATAATCTATGTGTCATTTCTGCATGGTTAGGCTTTTGTCGACATGTTGGGGGGAAAAAACACCAAACAAGTCCAAAAATTCTGCCTGCAAAAGATCTTAACAGCTTCTATAGAATGGGAAAAAAAACCACACAAACAAACAAACAAAAAACAACAACAAAAAAAACAACTTCAAACTTAATCACTGTGAACTGGGGAATTGTAAGGAATATATATATACTGCAAGAATCATGACCACTTTAGCTGTAGCTAAATGTTACTTTTCATCATTTTCTATAAATGTGAGAACTCAGAAATGCTGATGAAATCATGCCTATGCAAGAACTTTCTATTTTGAACAGACCTCAAATATTACTCTAAGAATGAGCAATTATAAGCATGTGAGATTTAACCACTGTTACCCAACACAGATTATATTTGCTCTGTCAGTAACTTTTATGGTGAATTATCTAGTTCAGAATTTTGACAGAGTGAAAGAGGATTTAAACAAAGTAACTGGCTCCACGCTTAGACGGTATTCAGTTAAATAAGCAGAGACGTAGTTATTATCTTCTTAGAAGTAAATCTGTGGTTTCCTTTTTTAAACTGTTTAAGTTTTAAAGTCCACCAGAAAGGCTGCTGCTCAACGAATTATTTGTGCACTTCTGCCTGTTACATGGTACTAGATGGGGAGCAGATCTGCAGCACTGTGAAAGACACCGAGCAAGTGTCAGCACTCCCTATAATTCAGCCGACCTCCCAGTATATTCACTGCAGCGAAGCGGGGGAGCTCTGGAGCGGCCGGAGGGAGGCTGTGGTCGGGAAGTGAGGTGAAAAGAGCATAATAGGATCACACCAGATCAGCACGACGCTTTAGAAAGAAGAAAGGTCAGCATGGGCTTAGTGCTGTTGTGGTGTCATTTCATCTGTTTGTCCCTTGGTGGAGTTCTTGAGTTAGTTTCTTCCTTCCGCCAAATGGCTTTAACTGGTTTGTGTGGGGTTTTTGTCCTTGTTCTTACCCTGCTTTCGAATTTGCTGTCATGTTTACTGTATTTAACCTTTCCCTCGTATTATTATGAATATGTTACTCTCAAGCCGATCTGACTTTTTTTTCCTTTGGAAGCTTTTCCCTAATTTGTCTGCGCGTGTGTGCATGTAAATAATAATATGTAATGTATGTGTATTAAGGTAATGAGCGATATAGATGTGCAAATAATCTGTCTCTCTTTAACCCGAGATGGATTCCCACTGCAGATCCCAGAAGTAATTTTCCATTGAGAATCATCGACATTACTGAACTGCAAAAAAAAAGCCCAAATTGTCGTGGGCTGAAAGCGCCAACTGCGGACACGAGCCGAGACACCGGCGGCAGAAACGGGACTCCGCCAAGAAATGCATATGAACGATCCATTAATTGCATCTGCATATTTTAGCCATGACCCCTCTGTCTTTCCAGCCAACAGCTACAACAAAAACAAAGCCTCGCTACAGACCATCGAAAAGAGAGCTGTGGGGGAATGCAGAGAAGCTGGGGAAGCTCCCAGGCTGCTTTAGGATTTCCCCACGTACAGAAGGCTGCGAATGCCAGCAAGACGGATTCCTTCCCACACGCAAGATGCCACCTCGGTGGCCTTATCAGATGTTCCCTTTAAAGACACGAGCTCTTATTTCCCCTCTGTATGTGTTTCGCATCTCTAGCTATTTTATTTATTACAGCCGATTACATTTGTGATCCCGTTTCCCACTTGATCTCACCAGTTCAGGAAGGCAAACACCGTGTCGTGTCTGAGCGTGTGTCTGAGCAGCTGGGAGCGGGGGGAGGGGGGGGGAGGGACGGGACGGGGACACACGGGGGGAGGGCACTTCGCAACAGATTTGACCTACAGGGACTAGACCTCCCCTGCCTGAAACAGCTGGATTGATCCTACCGACACCCAGACAGCCGTGCGCACACTGGCTGCGGGCCGAGAGCGGGGAGGCGGGGTGGGGGAGGTAGTGTCATTCCCTCTGTCTCCGCACGAACGAGCGGGATGCGGAACACACACACATACGCCCCAGCCAGCACAGCCCCGTCCCCTTCCGGCAGCCAGGGCACGTGGAGCGGGAGCAGCGCGGCTATCCACCATGCAGCGCACGTCGGGCCCATTTCCCACGCCGGCCGGCTGCCCTGGGGGAGGAAAGTAGGAGGAGGAAGGGGGAATGGTAGGGAAAGAAAGGGGGGGCCGTTACCTCTGCTCCGAAAGAGGAACCAATCCACTGTGAAGGACGCCGCACTCCCGAGCAGGAAAGACATTGCACATTCAGAGAGATGTTGCATGTGAAGACACTGCAAAAAAGAAAGAAACGGAGGGGGGATGGGGGCGCAGACCGCATGTGAAAGGCACAGTGTGCGTAAGAGAGGCCAGCGAGGATAAGGGAAGGGGGGGAGCGATTGCACATGGCAAGAAATCACTCATTCTCTTGAAAGAGGCTCTCGCAAGACAGACCGTAGTAGAAGTAGACATGGGAGATAACGGGGAAGGAGACGCAGACAAGACATGAGATGTCCGTGCCGTGCAACAGCACGGAATCCGATTAAAGTTTATGGCGGGGAGGTTTAAAAACGCTTTCATCTCGCCCCTCCCCTAGCGAATACAGTTAAGTTTCCTGGCTGCTCTTAGGGCACAAAAGGGAAGGGAACAGCGGGAGGTTCGGATTGCAATTGTATTGCTAGTGCAGGGAGCCAGTGTAATGCAGTATGCTGGTATTCCTGCCTACTGGTATGTCTGGATCTTACAATGTGGCCAAAATTTCCTCTTCTCGGAACTCCAGAACAGCAAGGGGGAATTTTGATAAATTCAAGTTGCTTGGCAAATATAATAGGGATTTGGTGCTAATCCTACTTAACCCGCTGCGAAGACGCTGAGCTCCCAAACCCCCCTCCTCCGTCCGGGACTGCGGCGGTGAACACTGAGCCTGCGCCGAGCCGGGCTTTCTCGCTGATGCTGCAGATATAAAGCCGAGTGTCTCCAGCGTGGAGGGGGTGCGTTTTCGTGTTCTGGCGAGGAGGGAGGGCGACCGGCGCCGGTGCCAGGACCGGAGCTGCCGGCGGAGAAGCAATCCTGCATCTCTCCGGAGCTGGGAGCAGGAGCGGTCGAGCGCCATCCCCCTATCTCCCTCCCATCGCCGACTTCCTGCGACGGTACTCTGCCCCTCTGTGCCTCTGGGCTCCCCAAGGGGAAGAGGTGACAACCTTCCCTCCCTCTCACATTCACTCGCCGCCCCAGATGACAAAGGCACCCTGTGACTTTTGCTTTGAATCTCCTCGGCATATCCGGCCTCTTTTCGCTCAAATATGTCACCAAGAGGAAAGAGAGGCGTTTGACTACAGTCGTCTGCATGCATCTTTATTCAAAATAGGCATGTAAAAAGAGGAATGAACACAAACCTGCAACAACTTGTTCTCCCACATGTGTTCACAGGAGGAGAGCAGCTGGATTCCAGCCTCCCCCTTGTTGCACACGCACACGCCGGTTCTGTTCCCACTGTCTGTCCATGCTCGCCCGGGTCCTCCGTCTCCCGCCAGCCCCGCGGAACCCCCCTCTTTTCCCCCCGGGATCCGGGTGGAGAGAGTAGGTACGGGAGTCAGGCATCACCCAGGGCTCAGGGGCACACGCACACAAGAGCCATAGGCGCTTAAATGACACAAAGTCAAAAGGAGAAGCGAACTAGGGACGCTAAGATAAATAAAGTTGAGCAGAGAGCTTTAACATTAAAGTTTATTTCCCACTTACCCAGGTAGGTGACGCTGCTTTTTAGCAATCATCTAAGCAGCAAGTCTCAGCTCAGAAATAAATCTGTTACTTTTTACATGTGTTTATTCTGCTAACCCTTTCGTCCCCGTCCTGACCATCTTCGCTTTTTTTTTTTTTTTTTTTTCCCTGATGTTGTTTTCCTAGGAAAGCACGCTGAAAAGGAACATTCAAATCATGGTAACAGGAAAAACACGAACGCAAACACTAAAAGGCTCAAACAACACTGGGAAACAGGACGAATTTCTAAGATCTAAGGCAGCCCCCCCTTCCTCCCTGGAGTTTTATGCAGTTACAGTGACTGCAGCTCTTTCACAAAAAGCAGCGACACGTCAGAGGAAGGTGGGAATCTGTGCGAAACGAGTTTTCTTACCAGCGTGATTCCGCAAAATGCAGAGCCCCGGACATGCATCAGCTCTGCTTAAGACGAATAAATATTTCCTTTAAAAACTGTTGCTCAATTCACAGCCTACAGCGGAGGTGGGGAGGGAAAGTATAGGAGAGAATCAGTACAGATCACGGATTTGAGGAGGCAACAGCAGCAACACTCGGGCGTGTAATGAGGATGGGGTTTAGGAACTGAACTGGTGGTGTATGATGAGCAGCTATCCCACTCGCAGCACTAGCAGAGACAGAGGGTAAGACTGGGCTTTCTGGAGTGCAGCGCTTGACTCGTCCTCCTCTCTCCTCCTCCTTCTCCTCCCTCCCTCACTCCCGCTCGCTCTCTCTTTGCTCTCCCTCTTTCTCTCTCCCTCTCTTTCTGTGTGTGTGTAGCGCGGGCGGCTCTGCTGCTGCAGCGTTAAGGAAGAGCTGCTGAGAGAGGCTTCAGCAGCTCCCACCACTTAGGGCAAACTTGCCGGTTTACTGCTGCTTTTTTTTTTTTTTTTCCTTCCGAGTGGGAAGCTTCTCAGTTGCCATTCAACATTTTAAAGCACAAGCCGCTCTGCCGTGAAAGCGCCTGATCCACACTCCTCTGAGAGGCACAGGAAGGAATACACATTGCAGATTTCACCCACCGTGGCGGTGCAGATCACAGGAAACAACTGACTGATACATTTTTTTTTTTTTTTTTTTTTTTTTGCAAATAGAACTCTGGGGTTTGTTGGTTTGTATTTTTTATTTTTTTTTTTTTTAGCCGCGTCGCGGCTGCCTCCTCCTCCCCTTTGCTATTCCGCTTCTATGGATGTAATTCAGAATCTGTGTTAATTCACGTGGGGGATCCAGTTACACCGTGTTCCGCTCCGGGTATATTTGCGAGAGACCAGTAATCGCCTTTGGACACATAGTTTTGTTGCTAACCTTTGAACTGAAAGGATCAAGTTCAGATCTGGTTACCTGCATTGGGACGGGAAGGAAGAGGAGAGAGAGAGAGGGGGAGAGAGAGACTGCAATCTCATTTGTGAGTCGCTCTCAGTGCTGCAGATCCAGATTGCTGTAACACATGCAGTGCAAATGCAGGTAAGGCACACACACAAACTGCGGATGCTAAACCAAACTTGGGACTGTTGTGTTTGTGTATTCATATCTACAGCCTTGCAAATTCTGGGCAAACGGCTTCTGCAGTTTCTGTATCGTTGCTTTGTGACTAATGACCTTGCGCAGAGTTGTTAAAAAAAATCCGCTCCGGAGAAAGAGCTGAACATTTTAGGCGATCTCTGAAGATGGATTTGGGTGCTTTTCTGCCAACCAAAGGGGATATTCTGTGGACTGCTGTGTAATACACGGGTTTCTTCTCCTCTGCAGCTACCGACATTATTGGGATTTTTTTTCTTTCTATTTTTTATTTTATTTCATTTTTTAAGAGCTCCCAGTTGCTAAGAGGATTTGGAGTTTTCCTGGACACAAGCCCTTTGAATAAAGCGAATTACATTTTTTTTTTTTTCCCCGTGTGTTCAGAGCAGGGGAAGAATAAAGCTAAAGCCTTGGTCGTAAATGGCTGAGAGAGAGAGAAAAGAAAGAGAGCGTGTGAATTGTAGTTAACTCTAGTGTAGAAGAAGACGACCTGGGGGGCTTCGAATCATATAGTGCTGCTCCAGCTTTTTATTGCAAACCTCGCAAAGCGATTACAGTAAAATCAGAGAGGAGGAGGAGAAGGGGAGGAGGAGGAGGAGGAAAATCCCATCCTGTCTACGGAGATGAATCTTTAAAAAGCAAAATACACTGTCCCGTGAACTGTAAGTATATCGCAACTGAAGGGCAGGGAAAGCAGGAGAGGAGGCAGCAGCAGGGTTTTGACTACCTATTGCACCATCCATGAGACACTAAGTTTCCAGGAACAGAAGGATTTTATAATTGATAGCCCGGACACTCAGTCGCTCTGTTGGCTTATCAGGAGAGTTAATTGGGGGGGGGGCGGGGGGGGGGGCGAGGAAGATGAGGAAGATGCGGACTCTTTTCGGCTTTGTGCATTGCTGCTGCTGCTGCTTCTTGCTCCTGCCTCCGCCACTTTGGGTCAGCCTGGCATCGGCCAAGCAGCTCCTGAGGTACCGGCTGCCCGAGGAGGGACCCGCCGACATCCGCATCGGCAACGTGGCTTCCGACCTGGGAATCGTGACGGGCTCCGGCGAGGTGACATTCAGCCTGGAATCGGGCTCCGACTATCTCAAGATCGATAACATGACTGGGGAACTGAGCACCACGGAGCGGCGCATCGACCGCGAGAAGCTGCCGCAGTGCCAGATGATCTTCGACGAGAACGAGTGCTTCCTGGACTTCGAGGTGTCGGTCATCGGCCCCTCGCAGAGCTGGGTGGACCTCTTCGAGGGCCGGGTTATCATCCTGGACATCAATGACAACACCCCCACCTTCCCTTCCCCCGTTCTCACGCTTACCGTGGAGGAGAACCGTCCCGTGGGGACCCTCTACCTGCTCCCCACTGCCACCGACAGGGACTTCGGCCGCAACGGCATTGAGCGCTACGAGCTGCTGCAGGAGCCCGGCG